CAGCTACCAAGCGGGCAGTGTTTTTTGAGTATGTTTTTGTGGTTCCGCTTGGCTTTTTCTCCCCTTTTTGAGAGGTCGAGGATGGCCAGAACTGAGAAGGACACTGAGGCTGGAGCTGCACGCGGGGCCCCCCACGCGGGGCTGGGGAGGAAAAAGTCCACACAACTAAATCTCTTGCTGTGCACTTCGTGTTTTCAGAGTCACAGGCTTTTAGTGAGGAGCTGGGCTCATTTACTCCGAATTTCCACTCCTCTCCTTAGTTCATTTGGTTCTGTGGAGGGAACTGATGGGAATCGCCACAATAAAATTTTAATTAAATGCCAGGCAATAATTTGCAAGGAATGAAATGCGGTACCTGCAGCAGGCTGTTGACATCTGTTCACAGACCCCGAGGGCCATTAGTGACTTTCAGAAGCCGGAGAAGAACACAGGTCCACTTACCTTGTTTTTATTCTTCCAGTCTGGGGCAGAGAGACCTATTATGTTGAATATTTTATAGCGGTGCACTGTTGCCATCCTTCCTGTGAGTCATTTTTCCCCAAGAAGCCCATGCTCGCTGTGTTATTTAACCCCTTTAGAGGGTTTTAAGGGTGCCTGTAAATCTTCAGCGGGACTGCTCTTTTACATGCCGTGCTCATGCCGTCGCGTTACTGCACTGCAATTCCGGGAAGCCAAAGCTGCTTTAGTATTCAGCGCTCTGCATGCCTGGGAGAAGAAGGTCCGCGGCAGTCTGGAGAGCGGCACACACGTTGCCCTTGCCTGTAGGATCATTCCCATCATTGAAGTTGTGAAAAGTTGTTTTCCATGGAGGTTTTCCCCCGGGTCTGAGTTCACTGGACAATGCTAAGTCTGCCCGTGTCCTACAAAGGGGACATTTCCAAACCAAAGCGTGAGTTTTACCCAACCCTGTGGGAGATTTCTTCAAAGGGTGGAAAAACTCTTAGTGGAGAGTTCTCCCGTTGAGCTCCTTTTAATCTGTTTCGCCCTGTTCCATTAAGCTATATGTGCCTATGTGTGTTAAACTCCCATTTTTGAGGTTCTTGCAGATACTTCTCTCCCCTAAAACCGTCCTCAATGGCTCTTCTATATGAGATTATATATATGTATATTTATCTATATCTGTTTCTAAGTTTGGGGGCTTTTCTTTTTAAATACTAACTTTTTTGTTGGGGAGGTGAGGTGGGAGTTCGTTGCTTTCTCTAGGTTTCAGACATCAAGGAACCTGGAACCAACTCCAATTTTGGGTTGTTATACTGATTTTTCAGCAGCGCTCCTGCTGTGCAGCCTCATAGGTTTAAGGCCAAAAATACATGCAAGTTTCATTTAAATAACTGTAGTGGAAACTTTCTATGGAAAGAAGATAACCGAAAAAAAGCCCCTGAAAGAACAAAGTAATTGCCTTAAAGAATGACTTCCTTTTGCTGCATTGTTTTCCGTTTGCATCAGCCGTTTGTCTCCTTTGGGCTGTGCAGTTGCGGTTCTTTGGTGTGTCATCCAGCAAAAAGTACAGCAGAATTTCTGTGCACAGAAGAGCATTGCTACTTTTTCCTCTGTTATAAGTCAAAAGAAAAAAAAAAAAAGAAGAAAAAAAGCAAACAACTGCACTCTGCAGATTGGGTCTATGACATGAATGGAATTTTAAAATGACAATTAGTACCGAAAGCTTTGCTCAAGGGTTCTGCTTTTGGTAGAGTCCTTCAGACTCCTTCAGATAAAGAATGTGAGTGTGAGCAATTGCTAATACGTGGGAACCTCTTGACCAATGAGATGAAAATATTGTGGCATTTCGGCCTCTCCAGTGCAGAGATGTGGTTTATATATTTTTTTCGTCAAATCCCTTTTGTGAACTGTTGACCACATCGTGGCGAAGGCAGCTCGCTTTGTTCTGGGGGCGCTTTGTCAAGCTGGGAGTGCCTGAAGCCCCCAGCCAGGCTCGGGTTTCTCTTGGGAGCCTCGGGCAGGACTGCGTTGAGTTTCCCAGGGCGTTGCAGAAGGGGCAGGGTTCTCGTCCTCCCGGCGCTGCTCATTTGCTGGGCAGGTCAATGTTGCCTTTCTTGCGTTTGCTGCAGGGGTAGAGCCTGGACGTTCACGTTTCGCAGGCTGCAAGCTGAAACGTTCCTTTGGGGCTGTTGGCAAGATCAAGCAAAGCTTTTGAGTTGTAGGGGTCACCTTATTTTTATCTAAAAAAGCTACTTATATGATGCTTTCTGCTCCAAAATGGAGTCTTGTGCTCTGTAGCAACACTGTGTTTTCTTTTTAGCACTTGTTTTTAATCACTAATCAAGTCCTAAGTCTCCCCAAATGTTAGTTTAATCCCAGTTTATAGCCTCACTCTTGAACTGAGACCCTGGATGCTTTCAGTTTCTCATTCCATTGGCTGCATCTTGACCCACAAGTCTGTCTGGGATGCAGCATGGCAAGGGGGGTATAGGAAGAAATCCGCTCAACAGCACTGCAGAAACTCTCTTTTTTTTTTTTTTTTTTTTTTTTGTCACAATGCAGAGTTACGTGGCACGTTGTCACCCCTTGCAGAGCCACTGCAAAGGAGACTTGTCAGGCATCTCCACGCTGGACTGTGTTTCGTGATTTACAAAGTCACTTGCATCTCAAAAAAAGAAAAGAAAAGAAAAAAAAGAGAAATTTTATTTTTTCTCCCATCTAAAAGGTTTTGCAAGCTTTTATTCAGTAAGGAAGAAAATGAAGTGAGTTAGGTGTCCAAAGCTGCCTGCCTAGGGCAAAACCAGAGGACCAGGGCCACCGTCTTCCAGATGAGAGCAGTGAGAAGAACTCAGCCTTTCCCCTGGCTTAGCAAGGACACTTGGGCCGGGATATGAATTTTTAATTTGCGTTCAAACTGCTTTCACACTGGCATTGCCCAGAGATAGAGAGCACGCAGCCTTGTTAGAGAGGGCGATAACAGCTACCTTATCTCCAGTGCCTGCACTGCTGCTATGGCTTTTTCCTTTTTTCTTTTTAATCTGATGCTCTTTGTTGAAAACCCGGATGGGGCAGATGCCCCCCAGTTAAGATTGATGGAGGGTATCTGTACAAGTCTGTCTGCTGTTTCATAGGCTGCTCCTGAGCTAAATTAGGATAAGGACTGGAGCTTCAGCGTGTCAAAGATGGTGTGAAAGGAAATCTCTTTAAATGCTTATGCATCAGCAACGCTGGCTTTTCTTTCCATGGCATTCCAGTGGTTCTTGGTGACTAGAGATGTCCTTGGTGGTTGAGGAGCGATGCGACAGCAATGGGTATGTAGTCCAAAACCAGTGCAGCTCCCTGCTAGCATCAGTGTGTGTCCTTTAAATGCTCTCTTTATTTTTTTTGCTTCACTTTTAAAATGAAAATTTAATAATTTTCATTTAGCACCGGGTTTTCCTTGCTGCTCTGCAGAGAAGTGGAGCCCAGAGCAAAAAAGGGCAGCAGAGGTTGGAGGGGGCCGAGGTGGCAGCAGCTGAAATGAGCCCCTCGTGTCGCTCCCAGTCGCTCAGGGAGGACCTTTTGCACAAGCCTGAGGCTCGCAGGGAAGTTCTGGGGCTTAATGAGGAGGCTGGAGCAAACTTGCTCCCAGCCACGCGCAGGAGGCTGCGAGACCCTTGGCCAGGTGAGGTGCCCGCTGTGGCCTCTGCTGGGGCTCTCAGCAACATGCCACCTTGGGACTGTGTTATTATAAGTTTATTTTCGTACTCGATGAAAATTTTCTAAAAATATTTGCACTCGCTCATCAGCCATCAAACTTCCTGCATTCCTGGTGACTGCAGGGAAAACTTCTGCTCTTCAGCCCCATCGTTATTCAATGCAGGTTTCTCTGATGAGAAATTAGTGCCTTGATCATTTAGGCTGCAGTCTTTCACCTGCAAAAGCGTATTTTGCATGCTGCGTGGGAAGGCAGATTTGCTTAAAAATAAAACTGGCTTGATATTCTGTTACGTGCTGCTGCGAGCAGGCCAGCCACAAATTATTCAGGTGAGACATCTGTTTTCATACTTCTGTAGGTAAAAAGGTTGTCCTGAGATTGCACCACTGGACAAGGACCCCCTTTTAGTACGTGGTGGATGCTTGGTGTGACATGGGCACGTGATTTGGTGCAAATAGTAATGCTTATCTCCCCTGTCTGGTTGGTGTAGATGGATGTTTAAGAAGACGAGTTGTCTGAGGGAAACATGTTATGGATGAAACCATTACCTCAACTGAGGCGCTATCATGATACAGCTGGTTAATAATAGTTGAGATATGTAGGTGCTTCTCAAGCTTTTCATCTGAGTGGTCATTGGTAGCAGCTGGTTTACCCTTTGAAATAAGAAACCAAAGATTTAAGACAGGCCAAGAATCTCCAAACCCTTTCCTGATGGTTGGAAGGCTAACTTTTCCAAAATAAGCAAGACAGATCCCACAGCTGTCCTAGAATTTCAGTTTCAGTTCTTTTCTTAAGAACTGAAGATTAAGTCAGAAAATTTCTTGTAGGGTCTAATTCATGTTCCCCTCAGTGGAATTTAAGGCCATGACTACTGCTGTTTTTGACAGCCTGTGAAGGTGGCATGGTCCTCTGTGTTTGATGACACAAAGGACCATGATGACCTTATGGTGACTCCTTTTAGTCTTTATTCCTTTAAAACCGGATGAATCTGATTCTTTCAGTCTTTCTCACCATCATTGTCTTCAGCGCTCTTGATGATTCTTGCTGTTCTCCTTGGGATTTCCTCTACACCTTTATCAAATACACTGTCCAATATTGGGACTTTAGTAGTGATACATAAGAAGAGAGTTCCACGGTTTTGGTTTTGAGTCTTATGAGCAACACTGCTCTTCATGTGAGGTGCTGTGATGTTTGGTTTGATTGCAGCAATATGACAGTGTTCAGTCCCTGGCTGTGATCCCCACCAGCTCACAAGTTATTTCCCTTGGGCATTGGTTATCCGTACTGTTCACCTGCCGTTCCTGAACTCACTTTGTCTTTTTCTTTTTCCAGACCATTTCTACAGTTTATCAAGATCATTTTGAATCCTAATCCTGGCCTCTGAAGTACTTGCCGCCTGTCCCGTCCTGGTATCAGCAGTGATTTTAGTAAGCATATACTATGTTCCCTCCTTCAAATGAATCATGAAAATACTGCAAAGAAATGTATCTCCACGTGAAGATCAAATTGTGTTTGAAATAAGAGAGTTTTACTCCCATGGAGGTATTGTTGTCTAACCAGCAAGTGGAAAGACAGATTATAGTTAGGACATGGAATTTGAAAGAAAAGAAGCTGTGGATTCTTAGAAAATCATCAAGTGGATTTTTCCCTTGCTCCAGTTTTCTTTCTTTCAGTAGAGAACCCCCCATCCACTTGGGTCTTGCAGCTTTCCTTTGTCCAGCAGATAGTTGACGGCTGAAGAGCCTCAGTATTTGGGGCTGAGGAGGGAAAGAAAGCAAACCCAGTGTGTTCCATGGAAACCGTGGCTGTGAGTGAGGGGGGAACGTGCTTGACTTGGGGGAGCTTTGCAGCATTGAGGTGTTGAGGCAGGGCGCCTATGGCCTTTGTTGGGATTTCTGCCTTTTGGCTCAGACACTGTCTTTAAACGTCAGTGGAATATGTCAGTTCATTCTGGGGGAGACAGTGAAGGGAAGGGTGTGCCAAGATTTATATATTTCCGTGGGGCCTGATGAGTGGAGCTTTATGGACCGCACTTACATTTATAACGCCAAGGGGCAGAGCCAGGTGGTGCCCGCAGAGACCAGAAATAGAGTTCACAGCCACTGCGTGTGTCCCCGTAACTGTCAGTGTCTAACAAATGAGAAATGAAAACAAAACGGGTGGAGGGCTCCCAGAGGTGACCAGTTACACACGTGCTCCAACAAGAGCTCATTTCTTGTCTTGCCCGTCAAGAAGAGCCTAAGGGCGGGTTTTGTTGTTAGCTGCGCCTGAACATCTATGCGTGGGTCAGAATAGTGCGTGGCTTCAGCCGTCAGCTCCTCCGTGAGCCCGGCCCTTTCTAGAAATTTCAGGATAAGCAGGAAAAATCATTTGTGCCTCCCTCTCAGCTCAGCCTCTGTCTACGTGATGATGGATTAAGGATTCTCCATGCCATAGGGTCAATAATACTCTCAGCATACTAAAAAGTGGGAAGCAGAGGAGGGCAAATGCTCCTAGGGCCCAAACCTGCTGACTGCTGCTCCCCTCTCCTGTCATCTCTATGTCCTTCCCAAAGTTACAAGAACTTGAGGAAGAACGTAGTTCTGTGAACAAAGACCCAGAATTTGCTGTTTCTTAAAGGACCATGTAAAACTGGCTTGCTGTTGGTGGGGGGGAAGCCTCAAATATCCCTGTGGAGAGTATTTAATGTGAATGATTTTGTATTTATTCGTTGCACTTAACTGAGTGGATGGAATCTCTTCTGGCCATAATTGTTTTGTAGTTGGAAGTGCTGTCTAGTATGTTAGTGTTAAGAGCAGGTGCACAAAGAGATTTCTTTCTCTGGAGAAAGAGAAAAGGGAAGAAAAAATAAATTTTTTAAAAAAGGCAAAGCTTACTGTACCAGTAATTGATTCAATAATCCTTTTAATACTAATTGCAATGTTGCAATAATCCTTTTAATACTAATTATGATTAATTTACCCATCTGGCTTTTGTTTACATGAAAGACAACCTGGCTAAAGCATTTTGTTTAAAACCTCATGGAGTTTTAGTAATATTTTGGACTTGCTTCACATGATATATTGTATAAACCTATGACTGGTTGAGTTTTGAGGGAGAATCACATGCATCCATCGTGACCTGTTTTCTCTCTTGCACGTTTTTCGTCACTAGGTCCCTCTCTTTGCACTTTTCCCATATTGTCCAGCTGCACCTGTACAAATGTCTTCAGACTTATTTCTTCTCCTTTTTCAGCTTCTTTCTTGACAGTCGTACCCAGGCCCTTCTCCGGCAATAGTTCTGCTCTTGATATTCTGCTGAGTCCAAAAAGCCAAGTCCATGCAGCAGCCCTGCCATTTCCTATCCATGGCTCCCTGTTCCTTCTGGAACAATCCTGCTGTAATTTTCCACTTGTTCCTCTCACCAGAAGCCCTCTTTTCTCACTTGCATATGCCACTTGCTTTTCCTGTCTCTTTTTTTAAGTGCTTCTTTTTCTTGTTATTTTCCATTTCTGTAAAGCAGTTTAGATTTTTCAGAAAACAAAGCTGTGTGGCTTTCCATATGCGCCAGCCCATATGTATCTGCTTATAGTGAAGGTTGCAGAGCAGTATCCATCAAATGAGGTAACTTTCCTTCATTTCCTATTTATTCACTACTGCAAAGTGAACTTTCTGGGAAGGCTTCAACCAAAATATTGTAAGACTTTTTTTGACTTGCATAAGAGAAAGAAAACAGACAATTCTGTCCTACAAAAGCAGCTCTGTTGACAGTAAGACCATTGCTCCATCTTTTCATCAGTTAACCTGGAATCTTTGATGTCACAGAGCAACAGGCAATAATCACGTACACTGGAAAAGGCTTCTCTGTAAAGATGATCCCTAATCACTTCCAAATGCCTTGCTTCTGCTCTTCTACATCGGTTTTAATTCAGTTTACCTTTTCTTACCTGGCTTCACAGTGCTATGAACCTCTGGCATCTCTGAGGCATGTGGCCTTTGCATTTGATCTTGCTAGCTTTCAACGCCGTCCTCATCGGTGGATTCACCACTACACTTTAAGGAAAGGCCAAAAGCACAAGAATGCCCACAGTGAGCACCGTGCGGCCAAGTATTAGCTCTTGGCAGAGAGGTTTTGTGATCTGCAACAGTTTTGACGGAGCTGTTGGGAAAAGATGGTCTATCACCTCCCTGTTTCAGGAATTGGCTGGGAATGGCTTGGAAAAACAGACTTTTGAGGAAAAGGCTACTTCCGTGTTGCCAGAGGTGTGGGTTCACCTGTGTGGCCATGGACATTACTGTCTGTGTCTCTATTTCCTTCTCATTTGCAGGTACTTCACTGGCACCCTAGGGTGTACATGCGGGGCTAGATCAAGACCTCCTTTCACGATGGTAGAGGGGTTTCAAGTCAAGGGTCCCTGTTGCATCAGTGCTCCAGGACTCAGGGTTGACTCTCATAAACCGAATTTCCTTCCAAAGCTACAAGCTGCAGCTTTTTCTTTTCACTTTCAAGCGGTCAAGGTACTATTTGCAAAGCCTTCACAGTCTCATCTCTGTATCTCCCCTTCTGCAAGCCCTGGAATCTTGCTAACGTTGGCAGTGAAATGTTAAGACCATTTTTTGGCCTTTCTCCCCTCCTGTCCTGTGTGTTTTTCTCCATCTTGCTGGCGTGCTGCAATCCTGGTGCACAGAGCAGAGTGCTCCTCTGCACAGGACTGTGTCGCGGCTCTGAGGTCACCCCTTACTAACTGAAAGGTGATGTTTTTAATCGGGTAACAAACACCCTATTTTAAGCTGCTTCTAAAAATAATTTGCCACACAAGTTGGTATTGTGGCAGTAACGTTTTAGAATTGAATTGAGAGTGTTTTCTGAGTATGATTCATAGAAAGAAAATGAGCTTTACTAGTTCTGCCCCGGGGTGAGGCGACGTAGGTGAGTTGCTGATTGCGTACGGAGGTTCACGTGGTTGTGAGGACTTTTCCATTAGCTCCTCTGTTGCAGGCTCTTCTCCTAAGAGTGGAACGTCACATAAGACACTGGAAACTCTGTCCCAGAGGTAGGGTATAACCCATTTCTTACAGGGACACTGTCCCACGGTGCCTTGGAGAGTTAGTGCCGTTCCTCACTCTGCCTAGACAACTTGTGCCATCTGCGTTGCATCCATCACCAATGAGACATCTCTTTCTAGGCCCCTTCACTGAACTGTGGGGTCTCTTTTCTTTTGGTGCTACTGTGTGATCATCCAGCTCCTCTCCCAGCCTTTCATATCATGGCAGTGCCCTCTGGACTTTCTGCTGTGCTTTATGTGCTGGAGTTCACCTGCAGCATGTTGTGCCGAAGTAGATGGTGATCCCGTTGCCTTCCTGGAAAAGGTGATGAAGCTTCACCACGTTCCAGGGAAGGATCACAGTGTGGGAAGTGGGAGGAAAATATCATTGCTTATTTACAGCTTGGTCCTTAGAATAGGAAACAAGAAGCTTATGGTGATAAGAGAAGGCGAACGGGAGGTCCAGGCTCGGCGCTCATAGCAGCTTGTCATGCGAGACATCCTCAGGGTTCTGTGTTTTCAGCTGTAGCATGGGAATCGGACATTCCTTGTCATGGGAGGTTGCTGAGGATTCGTTAGTGTTTGCGGAGGGTATTAATTAGCCCCAATTCTGATCCTTCTTCCTGCCAGCCCCAGGAATGTCTGTCTTCAAGAGCACAGCTGTGCCAGGGTAAAAACAGTTAAAGGAGATTGGGAGCGTTATCAAGGTCCAGAGCAGGATATTTGCTGAGGCTGAGTGGAGGCGTATTGTTTTTACTCATACTGAGAGCGCCTTTTTTAATCTGGGGTTTCCTTCATTTGTCTTCATTTAAAAAAAGCAAAAGAAAAAACATTACAAAAATTCCTTAAACTTCTGATTAAATGTGCCCAGCACCTTGTGCAGGCCTTTTGGATGCCCTTGCTCCATGCAGTGAGTGGAAGGAGACCATCTGGAGAACATCGGGGGGATGGCAAAGCTGGGGAGCAGGCGAGACAATAAAGTCAGGGGAGGAGGAGATGCTGGGATGTCACCCGGGCCTGCTGGGGCGAAAGGCAGTGAGCAGCTCCCGAGCGCGGGCCGCGACGCTCCTGCCGCGCGGCGGCTCCCCAGGGAGAGGCCGAGCCGGGCAAGTCCCAGCCACCCAGGGGTTAACGGCAGCATAATGGTCTCCTTCTCCCTGGCAGAGGAGTTTCTGTGCAGGGCCCGTGGGTAAGACGCGTGATTGTGTGTCCTGGCAGCCGCTTCGCGCTGTGAAATAAACACCCGCTCGGATAATAGCGCTCATTGAGCATTGTGCCCGGGAGCGCACCGGCACACACGTCAGCCTGGGGCCGGGCGACTTCCAAAAGGTTTCCAGGGCGTCTTCTGCTCAGGCAGGTCCTCCCTGCTCCTGGGCGAAGCAGCTCCGGAGCTTGGGGCCGACC